AGAGCACGGAAACCGCAGCAAAACTGAGATGCTAAAGAAAGGTTTCCACGTTGGGGATAATAATCACTTGCAGCAGGCACCTTAAAAAAAAAAATATTTTATTAAGTTTTCTTTCAAATATTCAGAAATTTACAGAATAAAAAGTAGAAAGTAAAAGTAAAAAAAAGAAAGTATACATAAATTCCAACTTTCCAAAGTACTTTAACAGTTCCAATCGGACTTCCCCACATCTTCCAAATTCTGTGTTCTTTGCAATTGTAACATCAGCAATTTGTTACCTTATTTCATGTCTTACTGTATCTTTCAAATACTATGTTTCCAAATTTAAAATACTGTATCTCAGTTATTTGTACCCTGTAAATAAACATAGTATGGTTACTTCATATTGTCTACCTCATCTTTCTTATAACTTAATTTCAAATTCACCTATTCAAGTTGCTGAAGCAAACGTTTCCTAATCGTACACATTCTTAACATTCATACAACTTATAATGTTTTTGCAAATAGTCCTTAAATTTTTTCCAGTCCTCCTCCATTATTTCTTCTCCCAAATCACGGATTCTGCCAGTCATTTCAGCCAGTTCCATGTAGTCCATCAACTGCGTCTGCCATTCTTCCAGCGTGGGTAAATCTGGTGTCTTCCAGTGCTTTGCAATGAGGATTCTTGCTGCTGTAGTTGCATACATAAACAAAGTTCTATCCTTCTTTAACACTTTCTGGTCCACCATGCCCAGAAGGAAGGCCTCTGGTTTCTTGGGAAAGGTATACCTAAATACCTTTTTTAGCTCATTGTGTATCATTTCCCAGAAGGCCTTCACCTTTGGGCAGGCCCACCAGAGGTGAAAGAATGTCCCTTCAGCCTCCTTACATTTCCAACATTTATTGTCAGACAAATGGTATATTTTAGCAAGCTTGACTGGGGTCATGTACCACCGGTATATCATTTTCATAATGTTTTCCTTCAAGGCATTACATGCCGTGAACTTCATTCCGGTGTTCCATAACCTTTCCCAGTCCTCAAACATAATGTTATGCCCAATGTCCTGCGCCCACTTTATCATGGCAGATTTAACTGTCTCATCCTGTGTATTCCATTTAAGCAGCAAGTTGTACATTCTAGAGAGTATCTTAGTCTTTGGTTCTAACAGTTCCGTCTCTAATTTCGATTTTTCCACCTGGAAACCAACTTTTTTATCTATTTTAAACACCTCTTGAATTTGAGCATAATGTAACCAGTCTCGCACCTTATTTTTAAGTTTCTCCTGGCTCTGCAGCCTCCAATTGTCTCCAATTTTTTCAATTATTTCCCAATATTTCGGCCAATAGGCCTCCATGTTGGGTCTTTTTCGAGCCTTGGCCTCCATCGGTGATAGCCACCTCGGGGTCTTGCCCTCTAACAAGTCTTTGTATTTCAACCAGACCATGAATAATGCTTTTCTGACAATATGGTTTTTAAACAATTTGTGAGCTTTAACCTTGTCGTACCACAAATATGCATGCCAACCAAAGACATTGTCAAACCCTTCCAGATCTAGGACATCAGTATTCTCCAACAAAAACCAATCCTTCAACCAGCAGAAGGCTGCAGATTCATAATACAACCTCAAATCTGGCAGGGCAAACCCCCCTCTTTCTTTCGAGTCAGTTAGTATTTTAAACTTTATTCGGGGCTTTTTGCCCTGCCAGACAAATTTAGAGATATCCTTCTGCCACTTTCCAAAACATTCCGCTCTGTCCACAATCTGTAGGGCCTGGAACAAAAATAACATTTTCGGCAATACATTCATTTTTATAGCTGCAATTCAACCCAACAAGGAAAGTTTCAGTCTTGACCAAATTTCCAGATCTTTTTTGATTTCTACCCAACATTTTTCATAATTATCTTTGAATAAATTCAGATTTTTAGAGGACAAATGAACCCCCAGGTATTTCACTTTTTTAACCACACTTAATCCTGTCTCTCTCTGAAACCCATCCGTTTCTGTAGATGTCAAATTTTTAGCCAAAACCTTAGTTTTTTGCTTGTTCAACTTAAATCCCGCCACCCGACCAAATTCCTGAATCAGTTGCAGCAGGCACCTTTTAAACGGAAAAGCCAAAGTGTTTTTAATCCAAAACAGCCTTTCTCATCATCCTGGTGCCATTCAGATGAAGTCATTCCAGCACCCACCAGCCAGGGACGATGGGTGCTAGCAAAATCCGGAGGGCACCAGGTTGCCGAAGGCTGTCTTACAGCATTTTGCCCAGGGAAGCCCTCCCCCTTATTCACAAAATCCTGCCAGACCACGATCTATCAACAGCAGCTCCACCAGAGAGCTCCAGCATGGCCCGAAGCTCTAGACTGAGCGTAATGCGTTCTGCTGTTTCAGCACTCTTTATCTCTGCTCGCTATCCCTCCAAAGCTGGAAATGATTGCCTTGACAGAAGGTATTTGTTGTTGCCTGACTTTAGAGACATGCTGTGCCTAGCTCTTTTCTGCCCTCTAGTGGCAATATCTGCTCATCTAGTTAAAAACAACAACAAAATGAAACACACACCCCCCCCTAACAAAACCGTTTGCCAATATTAAAAGGCAATTGCGGTACACAGCGAAGAAACTAATTTCCATAGACCAGAACCAAGTCCTTTGGATTAAAAAGAGCCATTGTAAATATTGGTTGAGAAGGCGACGCAGCACTATGTTAATGGGATTTTGGTCCAGTAAAATATCATGTTAGCTCTAGATCATGGGTACACAAACTAAGGCCTAGGGGCTGGATCCGGCCCAATCGCCTTCTAAATCCTGCCCGCAGACAGTCCGGGAATCAGTGTGTTTTTACATGAGTAGAATGTGTGCTTTTATTTAAAATGCATCTCTGGGTTATTTGCGGGGCATAGGAATTCGTTCATTTTTTTTTTTTCAAAATATAGTCCGGCCCCCCACAAGGTCTGAGGGACTGTGAACCGGCCTCCTGCTGAAAAAGGTTGCTGATCCCTGCTCTAGATGCACAAGTTAGTGATGCTTTAGTCCAGTGTTTCCCAGCTGGGAGCCATATGGCCCCCTGGTGGGCCCCAGGATATTCCAAGGGAGCCACAGGTGAAAATGCATAAATGGGGGGGGGGGGCACAGCACGAGCATAGGCGGCCACAGAGGGAAGTGATAAGTGAAGAAAATACTCCTTAGAGTATTAATCTTAATTTTTGCTCTTCAATTTTAGTGAATTGAAATATGCATTAAATTCGCAAAAATCCGCTGGTTAACATTTTGAGGCTATCTTTCAATTTATAGCACAAGCAATCTGAAATATGAATATTCCTCTTCGTGGAAATGCATCTTCAAGCATCTATTAATAACCACTAATAGTCATGATGACAACTACACAGAGTTCTCCTTGGGTTTTCATGCTGTCTGCCCTGAATGAGTAGTCTGGTTTATTTTATATGCACATGCATAATCACATAGACAACAGGTGCACAGCCAAAGTTTTGCAAGAGAAATGACAATTTTAATCCATGCAAGATACATTACTCCTCCTGTTGAAATGCAGGACAGTGACAAATTCAGGTGATTAAAACACGAGAAGTGGGAGAGTGAACTGGCTCATTTAAGTGAAAGCTAGAGACCCCTCGGCTCTACCCACTACAAGTCAAAGTTTAGGATTACTTTCCTACATAGAGTTTGCTTGAGGAGACATGAATCTTCTTCATTTGCAATTGTTCAGATATCAGCCACTCCAAATGATCGTTGGTAATATAAAGGTAAAGGGACCCCTGACCATTAGGTCCAATCGTGGCTGACTCTGGGGTTGCGGCACTCATCTTGCTTTATTGGCCGAGGGAGCCGGCGTACAGCTTCCGGGTCATGTGGCCAGCATGACTAAGCCGCTTCTGGCAAACCAGAGCAGCGCACGGAAATGCCGTTTACCTTCCCGCCAGAGCGGTACCTATTTATTTACTTGCACTTTGATGTGCTTTCAAACTGCTAGGTTGGCAGGAGCTGGGACCGAGATACGGGAGCTCACCCCGTTGCGGGGATTCGAACCGCAAGTCCTAGGCTCTGTGATTTAACCCACAGTGCCACCCGCGTCCCTCATTGGTAATATAGGCCAAAACTAAAAGTTTAGAGCTAAACAATATTCCTTACGATCTTTTGCTGAAGCCAAAATCCAGCCCAGCGGGCTATGCATAAATACTCCTGTTTCCCCAATTTCTTTTTAAAACAGTGAGCTGCACCTCTCTTTGCTGCCACTTGAGTGTGCCAAAAAAAAGGGAAGGAAGGAAAAATGAAGTTGAGCCATGTGAGTTACTTCGTAAGCCACAGAAAAGCAGCAGTGTGGCACGAAAGGACTTGCACATCCACCATTCTGTGCTGCCCCCCAGTGCAGAATTATATCTCTAATTATCAGAGTAATCAGCTCTCAGGACATCATTTTACATTTTTATGGACTATGACTCACTGGGCAGATTGACTCTACAAAAAAGCATTAGTGTTATAATGGCTTAATTGTCATAGCCTCCCTGCAAATAATTGTAACTGAAGTTTGGTGAGAGTTGGGAATTAGGATCGTGCCAAATTGCTGCCTGTGAACATTTTCCAAGCTGAAGGGGGTGTGTGTGTGGAATTCATGATCACCACCTTTTTACCTTTTTGGTGTACCGCTTTGCAACTTTTCAGAACTGCTGTCTTCCCTAACCCACAGTTTCAGCTCCATATTTTTTTATTAAATGGGCTAGCGAAAGCGGAATCATGTAGGCAGCATAATGAGTTCGCTAAATTAAGTAATCCATCAGGTTTGGCCATGTGATATTGTCACAAAGCCAAGTCAGAGCAAGAGCAAGAAGCAGTGCCCTCACTCTTACCTTGTAGTCCCCTGAAAAACTGGGGAAATAATAATAATAATAATATCCATTATTATTATTATTATTATTATTATTATTATTATTATTATTATTATTCCCCTCCCTCCCCAGCCAGAGCTGGGCTCAGGGTGGCTAACACCAATAAAATCACAGTAAAAACATAATAGGGGGAAAGAAAAGAAAAGAAAAACCAATTTAAAATACAGGTGAAAATGAGAGGGACAACAAATCCCTCCCCAAAAAACAGATACCCCTGATTTGCCTCTGGTTGTACTGAGATTTCTGTTACAAATCCTTGGTGCTCATCAGCAAACTATAATTGATAGGATTTTTGGCTAACCCACGACAATGTGGCATCCGTCCCATATAATCCAATATGCTTCTCACTCTTTGAGAAAATGAAGTTGTTAACACTCCTACTCAAGACTTATCTGCTGGGAAGTTTGGGGGCAACCCCTTTTATGCCAAAGCAGCCTGGCACTACTACATTCACAACCAATTATGGTAAATGACACTGGTTTTTAACTAGGTGCAGAACAGCTTTGAGAACCTCTTCTCTAGAGGGACTGGCGTCAACTGGTTGACACGTCGGATTCTCCATCCTTCTGTAAGATTCTTCAACTCTGTCAGAAAAGAGTAAGGAAGAGTACAAATTTAACCCACACATAGAAGTGAGTCACAATGTTTCCATTGCAATGCTACTCAGTTCGCTCCTTAGGAACCTACTCCCAAGACGATGTATTTAGGATTGACTCCTGTAACAGATTTCAGCTATCCACTGATAAGTTTATAGTACTATCCTCCCAGGGTGGTGGCATGGTCGGAGCCATGAAAGTGCATCAGCAGGGATGCCTGATTGGCTCTGCCACTGTGCTTTTTCAGCTCCAACCTCACCAACCACACCGTGACACTCTCACACTATCCCAGTAACCAGCAACAGTGTTGATATCAAATGGGTGGCTCCATGGCACCACCCCACCTGTGTTTACCCAACATGAAACACACCAAGCTGAACAGGCCTTTCACACTAGAAAGTTTGTTTAGGATTGTAGCCTTAATTGAGCTGTTTTAGATGCATATCCCACTTTCCAACTGGAGTCAAAAGACTTCACGACACATCTGAAGTACTGCCATAATTAAAACATTGAAAGAAATGGATTCCTAAGGAGAACTAAGGGACAGCGTGGCAGGGTGGAGAGAAGAGGGGACAGGATGAAAAATAGCTCATAAAATGGGCAGAGGGTGTCACTGCTGTGTTGGTGAAGGGGTCAAGTGATCTGGTTCGGGAGCAAGTGGGTAGCAGGATCTTTGCCTGCCTGCCTCCTTCTCCAGGCTATCTCGCCTGGAGCAGGTGGCCTTATCCAAGTCTTTAAAAATGCCACATGGTGTAAGCCATGGGTAGGCAACCTAAGGCCCAGGGGCCGGATCCGGCCCAATCGCCTTCTAAATCTGGCCCACAGATGGTCTGGGAATCAGCGTGTTTTTATATGAGTAGAATGTGTCCTTTTTTTAGAATGCATCTCTGGGTTATTTGTGGGGCATAGGAATTCATTCATCCCCCCCCCAATATAGTCTGCCCCCCCCCACAAGGTCTGAGGGACAGTGGATCGGCCCCCTACTGAAAAAGCTTGCTGACCTCTGGTGTAAGCCATGAAGTGGGAACCTATGACCTCCAGATGTTGTTGGACTACAACTCCCATCATCTCTGAATATTTGCCGCACTGGCTGGGGCTGATGGGAATTGCAGCCCAACAACTTCTGGAGAGCCACAGTTAAAACAACTCTTTTAAAAAATGTCCAGCTCAATTCTTCTCTTTTGCCTTCTCTGCACAGGGTGTGGCTCCCCTCTGACAGCTCTGCTTTCTCTATACAGGCATTCCTCCTCAACCAACACCTAAACCTTTTTCAGCCATCTTGGTTCCCAGGCAACACATCATCAGGTTGTTGACCTAACAAAGCAATATGCCGGGATAGAGCTGACCATGGTTTGTCCATTTTAGCAGTACCTTACAACCCGCGGCAGGGTGCGCTCCTGTCGCTCGGTCCCAGCGCCTGCCAACCTAGCAGTTCGAAAGCACCCCCAGGTGCAAGTAGATAAATAGGGACCGCTTACCAGCGGGAAGGTAAACGGCATTCCGTGTGCTGCGCTGGCTCGCCAGATGCAGCTTGTCACGCTGGCCACGTGACCCGGAAGTGTCTCCGGATAGCGCTGGCCCCCGGCCTATAGAGTGAGATGGGCGCACAACCCTAGAGTTTGTCAAGACTGGCCCGTACGGGCAGGGGTACCTTTACCTTTACCTACAATCATAGAATCAAGAGTTGAAAGGGGCCCTTGAGTTCATCCGCTCCAGTTCTCTGGCCAAGCTTACAACAATATTATGGGTTTAATACATACTTTTGACGGAAACAAGTATTAGCTTCTAGCTCAGTCTCCTCCTCTGTTTTCTCCATCCCTCGTCCCTTCAGTCTCCGGATTCTTTCCTCAGGACTAACAGTTAGCAGTAGAACAACATCTGGTTTTAGGAGGTCTTCGGGCCAGTGGTATACTTCGTGATGCAGAGGAGGGAGATTCTGCACTTTCCCACTTATTTCGGTGGCAACTGCATACGCGGCAGTGCTGTGCCAATACCTATCAAATTACGGGTGTGGGTAAAACTTGAGGCATTTGAAGGTTTCAAGAAAATTCAACACTAGGTGCATAGAATGAGCTGTGCAAATAGGCGACTCTGCATTTAACTAAAATCCGTTATGTGGCCTTCATTCTCATTTTGGACTACATCTCTTCTCAAGAGGCATTTAAAGCAGTCTATACGAAGGGCTAGCCTCATAAGAACCATGTGTGAGGTAGGTTAGTCTAAGCCTGCAGGGATGTCCAACAGGTCGATCGTGATCTACTGGTAGATCCCTGCGAGGTTTTGGTAGATCGCGGGTCGATCTGTGGCTCCCTTTCCTCAGCGGCGTTGAAAGTGACTCCTGCCCCGCCTTCTCGCCCTGCCCTCCATTGTTGTCTGATCAGTGGAAGGGAAGACAGAGCTTTCTCCCTGTGGCTGTTTTCATTAAAAGCGATATTATTGTGAGCAGCCTTTTTCCTTAGACCCTTGCCCCTTTAACCCCCCCAGAAACAGAACTTCCCTCCTAAGAAATGGGGCTTTCACCCTCCCTTAAAAAAGCTCAACAACTTTACCCTGAACCCCAAAAAGCAGGGGTAGATCGCTGTCAGATTTTAATTCTGAAAATAGATCGCAGTCTTTTGTGAGTTGGCCACCCCTGGTTTAAGGGATGGTGACGTTGGTCACATCTATGCCATGCACATTTAAAATACGTCTGTACCACTTTGACAGTCATGGCTTCCTCCAGAGAATCCTGGAAAGGGTAGCTGCTGTGAGAAACACACGTTCAATCTTCTTTGAGTGCAAGCAACAAGTCCTCTGGATTCAGGCCTGTTAACTTCAGGTAAGGGTGAGATCCAGCCAATCAAAACAAGGGGTGATTGACTGGCTATATTATACATGCTTTTGCTTTCTAAGACTCTAAAGCAGAACGATGGCAAGTAGGGCAAAAATAATGCCAATGGTGGCCCCATACAGGAAACAGGTAATGTAATTATATACAGTGGTACCTCGGGGTTACATACGCTTCAGGTTACATACGCTTCAGGTTACAGCCTCCGCTAACCCAGAAATAGTACCTCGGGTTAAGAACTTTGCTTCAGGATGAGAACAAAATCGTGCAGCGCCGGCACAGCAGCAGCAGGAGGCCCCATTAGCTAAAGTAGTGCTTAAGGTTAAGAACAGTTTCAGGTTAAGAACAGACCTCCAGAACGAATTAAGGCATTCTTAACCCGAGGTACCACTGTACAGACAGAAAAAGGGCTCCCAAGTTCTTTTCGATAATGTGCAATGAAGAGGATATTTCTTTTTTACCAACCTGTCTACGATCACTGGTAACTTAGAGGATGCTTTCGCTATTTCGGAAGCAAGGATGTAATTGGTCAGAGCATAAAATGCCCTCCGTATGAGCGTTGGTTCATCATCAAATATCTTTCTCCACTGGCTGACGCTAGGCGGAGGAGACCTCAAGAGAACAGCATTCAGCGAATCCTTCACAGCTTGAGTCAATGTTGTTTTGCCTATATATAATACAAGGAAGACAGTGTCCTTTATTCACGGCACAGTGCAAGAGTTGATCTAAGAAGTTCAACAGAGACAAAAGCATCCTCTGAAAGCCTCTTGAATTTTGTAGCATCTGTATAAGTACTTAAAAAAATGCATACTGTTCAACCAGAAATTGCAGGGTGTAATGTATTATTATTATTATTATTATTATTATTATTATTATTAATTTGATTAAATTTGTATACCACCCTTCATCCAAAGATTCCAGGGTGGTTCACAACAGAAAAATACAAAATAGGAACACAAAATACATATTAAAACAAAACCAACCAATAAGTCCCCTCCCACAGACACATTTAAAAAGCCACAGAATTCCTGGCTGGAGAGAAACGTTTTTGCCTGGTGCCTAAGAATATGTAAAGAAGATGCCAGGTGAGCTTCCCTGGGGAAAGCATTCCACAGATGTGGGTGGTGCTGTGGCCTAAACCACTGAGCCTCTTGGGCTTGCCGATCAAAAGGTCAGCAGTTTGAATCCCTGCAACGGGGTAAGCTCCCGTTGCTCTGTCCCAGCTCCTGCCAACCTAGCAGTTCGAAAGCACCCCAGTACAAGTAGATAAATAGGTACCACTGCAGCGGGAAGGTAAACTGTGTTTCCATACACTCTGGCACTTGTCATGGTGTTCTGTTGTGCCAAAAGCAGTTTAGTCATGCTGGCCACATGACCCAGAAAGCTGTCTGCGGACTAACGCCGGCTCCCGTGGCCTGAAAGTGAGATGAGCACGGCAACCCCACAGTTGCCTTTGACTGGACTTAACCGTCCAGGGGTCTTTGACCTTTACCTTTTTACCTCTACAGATGGGGAACCACCACAGAAAAGGCCCATTCTTGTGTAGCCACCCTCCAGAACTTCTCATGGAGGAGGCAAACAATGTAAATGTGCCTGAGTGAATTTAATGGCCTGTTTTTCCCTCCTTCCTGACACTGATGGTTCTTTTGGTGAGATGAAGACATCAGTTGTCTTCCACCCTACTCTGATTCCTTCCTTCACCCTCGAGACATGTTTGGTGGCCTGTGCTCTTGCTGTTCTTCTCCCATGCCTGACGAATTAGGGTCATCCTGAGTGTGTGAATAGGATTGCAGGTTTAGCATCATCAACAGAGAAACCCAACCTTCTTGGAGCAGCCCTATCAAGGGGGAGCCCCAAGAACCGTCCAATGAAGACCAAATGTGCTCAGTGGCCACTGAAAGTTGACTGTTGGGGATGGACAGAGACCTGGGTGGAGCAGCTGAAACCCTGAATCCCTTCTCACTGCAACATTCTGTTGCAGAGCTCACAGGTTTATTCACGCCTTTTGAGTTTTGCCTTAAACTCTTACCTGTTGCATCCAGACCCTCGATAACTATCACCGGGAAATCGCCCTTCTTTGGATGCTGAGGGCACTGATCCACCAGATCAAGGACTGCTTTGGCCTCAGGAATGAGAGAAGTGCACTGTAAGGAAAGCATGTATTTACTAAAGAAGCAGTTGCTTATCAATAACTCGGGGACTGAAGCCTCAGCAATGTCTATGGGGGAGCATTTAAAGGTCTGTCACAAAAGCTTGTGAGAGCTTTGGGAGATAGCGATGGGGCGACTCAATAGCGTTTGTTTCCTGGGGTTCTTTGGAATGTCCCAATGACAGCCTGCCCAGTCCCCTTGCTGGGAGGCAAGATATGTTTGAATTCCCTGAAACAGGGACAGTGCAGAGAGAGATTCATTTGGGCATTAAAGGAAACAGAGAGGGGAGAAAAAATGCTACTATAGCAGCTGCTGGATAGCTCCCTCAGTAAAGCATGAGACTTAATAATCTCAGGGTTGTGGGTTCGAATCTCATGTTGGGCAAAAGTATTCCTCCATTGCAGGGAGTTGGACTAGATGACCCTCGGGGTGCCTCTTTGATTCTATACTTTTCCAGCAAGTGAAGAAGACCTTGTTCCAACAGGCATTTTGGAACTGACTGCTTTTAACAAGGGAGGTGGTGCCATGCTGCTTTTGTTGTGATTGTACGTTTTCAATAGAGAAAGAGGGGGGGGTTCAATTTTATTAAATCATTTTTTTTTAAAAAAAATGATTGGTTTCTTTTTACGCTTTTCAGCTGTTTTTAGCTGTAAGCTGCCTTGTACCCCTTTCATGGGGGGAAATAACAGGAACCTCTTTTTTGTTGTTAAAAATTGTGGCATTTATTGTAACAGCTTGATGGTGAGTGCCGGCACCTGAAGGCTGCCCATTCTGCCAATTCTGGGAGTTATTTCATTCGCCTAAGCAACCATAAAGAGACCATAAAGAAGGCTGAAGAATTGATGCTTTTGAATTATGGTGCTGGAGGAGACCCTTGAGAGTCCCATGGACTGCAAGAAGATCAAACCTACCCATTCTTAAGGAAATCAGCCCTGAGTGCTCACTGGAAGGAAAGATCGATTGAAGCTGAGGCTCCAATACTTTGGCCAGCTCATGAGAAGAAAAGACTCCCTGGAAAAGACCCTGGTGTTGGGAAAGATGGAGGGTACAAGGAGAAGGGGACGACAGAGGACGAGATGGTTGGACAGTGTTCTCGAAGCTACCAGCATGAGTTTGACCAAACTGCGGGAGGCAGTGGAAGACAGGAGTGCCTGGCGTGCTCTGGTCCATGGGGTCACGCAGAGTCAGACACGACTAAACAACAGCAACAAGCAAGAGATGCACATGAGAAGCAACACTCACCTCCTCCAGGATCCTCCGGGCAGCTCCCCGAGAGCGGAACACGGCGTCCTCCAGGAGGTGCGCGCCGGCAGGATGCAGCGCCGGCTCCTCCTCGGCGACCACGCGCGCCCTGCGCACCAGCTGCCTGCCCTGCGCCGCCCCGTCAAGGCGCCACAGTGCGCAGCGCACCTCGCCGCCTTCCGCCACCTCGTATACCGCAAGGTGGACCGGCGCCGGCAGCAGGTGGCGAAGCAGCTCTTCGAGGGAGCGCTCGATCTCGGGCGCCCGCCGCTCGTCCTGCACCAGGAAGCCTCTCTCCAGCGCAGCCTCGCGGCTGGGGCTGTAGGAGAGGAGCGCCAGCGCTGCGCTCCCGACCCCGAAGGGCTGCTCCTGGCTTAGCCTCCGCTGCAGAAGCCGGTGCAGCCGGGCAGCCCGGACCCGCTCCCGGGGGCTCCCCGCCGCCGGGAGGCAGAAGGAGTAGCATCTCCCCGGACGGGGCAGGAAGCACCGGGGAGGCGCACGGTGGTTGTTGTCGTCGTCGCTCAGGGAGAAATGGACCAGCTCCGAGCCCGCGAGTTCCACCACGAAGCGGCGATCGGGAGGCGTCGCCATGGCGGAGCGGCGTCTGAGCGGCACCAGCAGAGCGAGGGCGCCCCGTCGCAGCATCGCTTCGCCGCAGAGAATCGAAACTTACCGAGCGGGGCGCGCAGCAGGCAGGGACGCGAAAGTGATCGAGGAGGAGTGGGGGCGGTTTCCGCCAGGCGGCGCATGCGCGCGCTCTCTCTCTCTCTAGTGCCTTTGCTCCGAGGGGACGAGTTGCTTTCTGCAACTTTTCATTGGGCTTCTTTTTAAAAGCAGGTTCGCTTCATCACCAGCCGCTCCTGCAGAGGGAGAAACGAACCTGAACTTTGGCAGGGAGCGTTTTGCATGTCCTGATTAGGCGGGAGCTGAGGAAAGGGGGCGGGTGTGTGCAGGCGCTTCTTTGCCAAGCGGAGCAAGAATTGGATCCAGAAAACGAAATGGAAACTGACGCGAAGGGAAAGTGAAGCTGACCCTTCCCCTGGGCAGTCTCGATTGCTGGGGCGACGCAGCCAGAGGGCTAATAATAATAATAATGATGATGATGATGATGATGATGATGGGACAGCCGCATTGGTCTCGTAGCGAAAACCACGGCGCTTTCGCAGATATGTTTTGCAATAAGCTTTCATCAGCTCACATTCGCGGGTATAGGGAAAACGGAAACGAGGACCCCACAAAGACCCCCCAAAACTAGGAGAGAAGCGTGGGACGTTTCAAATACAGTGGTACCTCGGGTTACATACGCTTCAGGTTACATACGCTTCAGGTTACAGACTCCGCTAACCCAGAATTAATGCTTCAGGTTAAGAACTTTGCTTCAGGATAAGAACAGAAATCGTGCAGCGGCAGCAGGAGGCCCCATTAGCTAAAGTGGGGCCTCAAGTTAAGAACAGTTTCAGGTTAAGAACAGACCTCCGGAACGAATTAAGTTCTTAACCCAAGGTACCACTGTATACAGTAAAGCTCAAACGTGCACACTATGAACGGAGCGGCCGTTCCCTGCGTTGGTTAATGATGTTTACTCACAAACTTTCTAATATCATGACTTGATCCAAGTTGTTGTTTTTTTAAGCGTGCACACAAAACATGGACTTGGTGTGGGGGAATGTGCGCTTGGAAAGAGGATACTGTAATGCGCAGTTCTAAAAATGGGGGGGGGGCTTGAGCATTCAAATGACAGGCAGTATCAGCAGAGGCACAGATTATTTGAGGGTGGGATGTGCTCCATTTCTAGACTTCCAAATCATATGAAGCACCAGCTTCACTTTCGCAGTCAGGACAGGTAAGATTCCTCATGAAAAGTAGGGCTCCCTTTTGCACGGAAGTAGAGTCATGAATGAATCACGGCTGTATACTAACTAAAAACGAAAGACTCCTGCTAGGTGTGTTCTCTGTGTGTGTTGTGTCCGCGTGGGGGCTGCTAGTGGGTGTGCCTTTGCATAGGCGACCGAGCGAGTCCTCGCGCCCTTGGCAACCCCGGGCCAATTTTAGTTTCTCGGGAAATGGAAACCGAAACTCTCCTCCTCCTCCTCGCAGCCCCGCCGTCCCGTTATCTGCTCGCTAAAAAGCCGCCGGCTCGCTCCCCGCCGCGCACTGAAGCCTCGGAGAGGAGCGCCTGTGTGCGTAACGAGGATGATGCTCTCGCCTCCCCGCCACCTGCTCGGCCTCCTGCTCCGCGCTCTGGCCGCGCTCTGGAGCAGCCTGGCGCCCCTCTGGCTCTGGGGGGCTCCCGGGCGCCGCCTGCCCGCCCCGGAGAAAAGGAGCCCCTCCGGGACGCCGGTGCCGCTCAGCGTCAACTACCACTTCACCCGGCAGTGCAACTACAAGTGCGGCTTCTGCTTCCACACAGCCAAGACCTCCTTCGTGTTGCCCCTGCAGGAAGCCAAGAGAGGGCTCAGCTTGCTCAAGCAGGCGGGTGAGTGAGTGAGTGGGTGACCCGGGGCTGTCTGGCTAGCTACCCACCTGAATAAAACATCGGGGGTACCCAAGTAAGCGCCGCCCCGCATAATCGATCACAAGATGCTGGGCGCGCCCACTATTTGAATAGCAATGCCCATCAACTTTGGGCAGGGTGGGTGGGTGAGCCGACATCTCAAATATTTTATGGGGGACTGGAAGGGACCTCAGCCCCTAGGAGTTGGCTCCTGTACTAGCTAGATAGCTGGTGCTTTTCCTCCAGGAGGGAGTCCTGCTGTTTGTTGTTTAGGCAGACAGTAGTTCAACCGTGCAAAGGGTGGGACCTCTTGATGTTTGTCTCCCTCGCAAGTTCAAGTGGATTTGTCCCGGTGTGAATATGTATAAGAATGCAGCCTAGATTAATTGCACACGGCCTTTCGTTTGCAATAATCAAGACAAAACGATTGCATTCCAAGACTCCAAACTCTTCTTTTGTATATAATTTTATTAAGCTTTCTGTTTTACAATTTAAAATACTCATTTTGCATCCTCAAGATATCACTGACTTCCATTCTTCTCTTTCCGTGGTTCATTTTACATATCATAAAGTAAAGGTAAATGGACCCCTGACCATTAGGTCCAGTTGCGAACGACTCTAGGGTTGCAGCGCTCATCTCGCTTTATTGGCCGAGGGAACTGGCGTACAGCTTCCGGGTCATGTGGCCAGCATGACTAAGCCGCTTCTGGCAAACCAGAGCAGTGCACAGAAATGCTGTTTACCTTCCCACCGGAGCGGTACCTATTTATCTACTTGCACTTTGAGGGACTTTGGAACTGCTAGGTTGGCAGGAGCAGGGACTGAGCAACGGGAGCTCACCCCGTCATGGGGATTCGAACCGCCGACCTTCTGATCGGCAAGTCCTAGGCTCTGTGGTTTAACCCACAGCGTCACCCGCATCCTTTGCATATCATAAATCCCTTCATATTTTACACAAAAAAACTGTACCATTGAGTACAGTCTTCCATTATTGCATCCATCAAAATCATTTTATACTGATGAATTTGTCTTAATGCTGCCAGCATGTTCAGCTGTACACAATTATTTCCCATATATTCAATAAACTTTAAACATATGTTCTTCTTGTTCTCTTATTCTATATGTTAAGTTTGTGAGCTGTGCATAAGCACGATTCTGGCCTCTTCTTGACCTGCAGGGGCCCGGCACTTCCTGTCAGCCCTCGTGACAATACACACATACACGCTGCATGTGCAATTGTCAGAATATGCTTTCGACTTACTCTCCCCCACACACCTACTTCTGCATCCTAGGCATGGAGAAAATAAACTTTTCAGGAGGGGAGCCGTTTCTGCACGAGAGAGGAGAATTTGTTGGGAAGCTGGTCCAGTTCTGCAAGGAAGACCTTCAGCTGCCGAGTGTTAGCATCGTGAGCAACGGAAGTATGATCAAGGAAAGATGGTTCAGATGCTATGGTAAGAGAGAGCGCAGGAGAATCATCGAGTTGGAAGGGGCCATGAGGGTCATCTAGACCAACCCTCCCTGCTGGGCAGGAAGCTTCCTCCTAATGTAGGGCTCAAACCCACGACCCTGAGATCAAGCATCTCGTGCTGTACCTACTGAGCTAGCTGGCCATAGATGCTTTACTTTAAAAGTAAAAGAAATAATCTCCCATTTACCACAGAAGGATAAACACTAATACAGTAGTACCTTGGGTTACAGACGCTTCAGGTTACAGATGCTTCAGGGTACAGACTCCGCTAACGCAGAAATAGTACCTCGGGTTAAGTACTTTGCTTCAGGAGAACAGAAATTGTGCTCTGGCGGCGCAACATCAGCAGGAGGCCCCATTAGCTAAAGTGGTGCTTCAGGTTAAGAACAGTTTCAGGTTAAGAATGGACCTCTGGAACGAATTAAGTTCTTAACCCGAGGTACCACTGTACTAATAGGGATCCTGTTCTCTGAATGTAAATGGAGCCAACGGAGACAGTCTATCCATGCACAACAGGACAATGACCTATATCCCTACAACAGCTTTGGGACGCGGGTGGTGCTGTGGATTAAACCACAGAGCCTATGACTTGCTGATCAGAAGGTTGGTGGTTCGAATCCCTGAGACGGGGTGAGCTCCCGTTGCTCAGTCCCTGCTCCTGCCAACCTAGCAGTTAAAAAGCATGTCAAAGTGCAAGTAGATAAATAGGTACCACTCTGGCGGGAAGGTAAACGGCGTTTCCGTGCGCTGCTCTGGTTCTCCAGAAGCGGCTTAGTCATGCTGGCCACATGACCCGGAAGCTGTACGCCGGCTCCCTCGGCCAATAAAGAGAGATGAGCGCCGCAACCTGAGAGTTGACCACGACTGGACCTAATGGTCAGGGGTCCCTTTACCTTTTACTCTTTGCTTTTGCTCAATAGCATTTGATGCTGAATACACAACTACTCACATAAATTGAATTTTCAGCACAGCCTTTTTGTGCGCATTTTGGGTTTTTGTGTGCATTTTGGTAGTCAATACATTAATTGGTAGTTCCTGGAAAAATGAGCTCGTTTATTCACTTGCTTTGATGCTGTGCTTATCTGTGGACCTTGGGTTGCTGGGCTCTTGGCCCAGAGAGGGAAACTTATCTGTAAGCTCTGGATAGTTGCAACCTATGGCCTCACTAGGCAGGTGAATGGGTGGGAGGGTCTGGCATGCTGCTTTGTGTATAAGGAATGTGTTAAAGTTTGCTTGGGTACGGACAAGTCACGGTGACCTCCCACATTTGTCGTGTTTGTCCCGTTTCTCCAAAGGCAGTGGAGCTCCAAAGGCTCCACTAAGTTCACTCTTTCCTATAATAAAGCACCAGAATTGACCACACTGGCATTTTTGACGTACTCCTTTGGTATCTCTGCACCAAACCACTCCAATGAGCTGGTGGATCAGGACAGCCGTTGCTCGAGAGGGGTGAACAGCTCAAGGCTGCCTCTCCAGACATTCTGAAACCTTGAACAGGAATCTTTCTCTAGGGTAGCAGAGATACATGACGTTTTGTTTCAAGGCCCATTCTTTTTCATCTGTTCGAAAATGTGTTATTAGTCCTTTATCCTGCTTAACCTTCATCTAGTGGCTGGGGGCAAAAAAAAAGATCACATTGTTGATTTGGGGGGTGTTTTTCTGCTCCAGTGAGATTTCCAGGGTTTTCTCTCACACCAGGGATGCTCTGAAAAGGGTTAGGGATGAGAAAATCTGGATTGAGGGATGGGGAAGTATGAGGAGGATGTGTGAACTGTGGAGAATTAATGGAGGCACCAAAGCTTGTTGTCTGCATTACCCAGCAGTATGGATGAGCCCTAATTTATTTCTGCTTCTTTTTGGCCTCAGCTATAAGTTGCTCTGTTTGGGCGATTGGATACCTGTTCAATTAATTAATTAAAAGCATCTAGGTTTATTACTATTTTAGTAAAACTCCCATAAGTTTGCCTCTTCCAGGGCAACCAGCAAGAGGGGCAGTAATGTATTAGATTTGTTGAATGAATTAATTCATGGTTGTCAAAATAATGTTGAGCTCGATTGACGCTTTGGTAAGGAATTTATAGATAAATGGAAGAACAGTTAATTACAATCCAAAAGCACATTGTGTGTTATTTTCTGGTCCAGCCTGTGAAAATAACTTGGGATTGAATAGGATATGAATCATTGGCCCATAGTGTGGATCAAGGCTGGCCCAAGACATTTTGCCACCTGAAGCAGACCCCAAAGTAGCCCCACGAAACAAGGGGTGAGGAAAGATCTACATCATGAACAAGGAGGGAAGAAAGATCAACATCAGGAACTGCTGCCCTGGTGTATCCTGCTGCCTGAGGCTGTCACCTCACCTTGCCTCATGGGTGGGCCGGCCCTGAAGAAAGATCTGCATTGGGATCTGCTGCCCCTGGGGCTCTTTCTACCTGGGGCTCTTGCCTCACCTTGCCTCATGGTGTTCATGGGTGAACGTTGTCTCTTTCAGGGAAATACCTAGACATACTTGCAGTGTCGTGTGACAGCTTCTGCGAGGAAGTCAATGTTTTGATTGGCCGTGGGCAAGGGAGGAAAAGCCATGTTGAGAATCTCCAAAAACTGAAGAAGTGGTGCCAAGATTATGGTGTGGCTTTCAAAATAAACTCTGTGATTAACAGATTCAACATGGAAGAGGATATGAACGAGCACATTAAAGCTCTAAACCCTGTCCGTTGGAAGGTAAGAACCTCTTCTTTTCAGCAAAATGCTTTCATTTCGTTATAAGATTTGTTACTTGCCCTTCACCGTGAGGTCCCAGGACACATTAGAACATAACGGCTGTGTTCTACCTCCACTGTTTGAGGCAGCATATTCCTAAATACCAGCTGCTGTGAATCGATTCAGCAGAAGCAAAAAATACATGGTATATACAGACCAAAAGTAAAGTAAGAAGAAAGGATAATGTGCTCAGCGGCAGGTTTATATCTCCCTGTCTCTGAGCACCGATCTTGAGTTCTCACATGGCTCACAGGAGAAAAACACCAGCTGTGGTCATGTTTGACTAGAAAGTACAATAATGTTCTCGTGAATCCAGGAAGATTCTGCACCAATAAAACTCCATCCATGACAGAGGATTGCTGCAATGCACTCAGGTTCTGCTTACAAGCTTCCTATGAATCATAGAATTATAGGATCATAGAGTTGGAAGAGACCACAAGGGCCATCGAGTCCAACCCCCTGCCAAGCAGGAAACTGAGAACAGAGTTCTGGACTAAATGAAAGTTTAGCCCTAGTAAAATAGAACTGGTTGTGTGGCTCCTCCCAGTTCTCAATTGGGCCAGGAGCTTCCATTCATAAAGCAGACTCGTTGCTTCAGAATTTATGCCCGACACAGTGGTTAGGATGAAGCTAGACATACAGCTGCACAGCCCCTTTCATCACATTCATCCTCTTCACACGCGTAACGCCTGAAGAGACTGGTGATTCTGTTGCTGCTCTAGGAGGATAATGGACCTACTGGCTGGTGTGGGTGGCAAAATACTGTGGGTGTGTTTTCTCATAGGTGACAGTAAGTGAGCCTCCAGTCACTATCGTATAGTTTAAAGGTAAAGGGACCCCTGACCATTAGGTCCAATTGTGACCGACTCTGGGGTTGCGGCGCTCATCTCGCTTTATTGGTCGAGAGAGCCAGCGTACAGCTTCCGGGTCATGTGGCCAGCATGACTAAGCCGCTTCTGGTGAACCAGAGCAGCGCACGGAAACGCCGTTTACCGTCCCGCTGGAGCGATACCTATTTATCTACTTGCATTTTGATGTGCTTTCGAACTGCTAGGTTGGCAGGAGCAGGGACCGAGCAACGGGAGCCCACCCCATCGCAGGGATTTGAACCGCCAACCTTCTGATCAGCAAGCCCTAGGCTCTGTGGTTTAACCCACAGCACCACCCGCGTCCCTTATCGTATAGTTTACCTGTGGTCTATTACTGTGTAAAAAGAGACTACCGAGAGTCTCTCCATCAGATCATTGATTTGCCACGGTGTTTGTGTGACCGACAAACATCCTCTCTTAATCATACACTCGGCTATCTCACAGGTATTTCAGTGCCTGCTCATCGAAGGAGAAAACACAGGGGAAGAGGCTCTGAGAGAAGCGGAGAGATTTGTCATCAGCGACGAAGATTTTGAACGATTCCTGCATCGTCATAAAGATGTCTCGTGCTTGGTGCCCGAATCTAATCAAAAGGTAAAGTTCTTCTAATGCAGACTATTCATCAACTCTGGGAAAAGACCTTTTTATCTTGAAAACTAGAAATGCTAATGGTTTGGTTTTGTATTTTGAAAGGAGCTTGCTAGCAGAAAAACGCAGGCACAAAGTTTATTGCTTTTTCCCCTGCTGGAAATGGGGGCCACATCGGCTAGAATTTTTGTAAGCTTGCAGTGCTGTATGATAAGCACTCCAGATGGGTAGGGCTTGGACGGATAGGTCTATCAGTGGAAAACATTAAGCCTTAACAATATACTGGCATTGCAGCAGTGTTAAAGCAGCTTCTGATACAGTCTGTTTCATCAGGGAGGGTAAGAGGTAAAGGAACCCTGGACGGTTAAGTCCAGTTGAATTCGACTATGGGGTGCGGTGCTCATCTTGGCTTTCAGGGAGCTGGCATTTGTCCGCAGATAGCTTTTCCAGGTCATGTGGCCAGCATGACTAAACCGCTTCTGGCACACGGAGCCCTGTGACGAGTGCCAAAGCACATGGAAACACCATTTAACTTCCTGCTGCAGCGGTACCTATTTATCTACTTGCACTGGTGTGCTTTCGAACTGCTGGGTTGGCAGAGAGGGTAGCTTTGTTGGTTTACTCACTTCTTAAACATTAGCTCATTTTTTTCAAAATAGTTAAGAGGACAAAATTGCGGTAGTAATAGAGCTGTTGTTGATGAATGCTGTCATGTATTATTTTATAACTGTGAGGTATAAGAGAAGAAACTGGGATTGGGTATAGAATTCAGCATTCTGAAAATCTTAGGGGGTTCCCCCCTCATTTGATGTTTGAAGATAAACCATCCCCTTTATGTTTTCTCTCTGTTGAATTTTAGATTGAAAGCACTTTAAGACAGAGAGCGATCCCTATACCCAATGAAGTTGTTTTATGCAAGATCAGTTATGCATAGATCAGTTCTATGCAATTTATATACAGGTTTAAGTTATTAGAAAAACAACAATCCTATAGCTTAGGTAAAATCTGTCATTATTACTGCTCACCAATCTTCAAACCTACAGATATGTTTTAATATTATTATTATTATTATCCATCCCTCTTTTTATTTAACAGATGAGAGATTCATACTTAATTCTGGATGAATATGTAAGTTGTTTTCTTTTGTTGTCTTATTTACCCACCCCCCAACCACAACTTGAAATGTTCATTCCATCTATGGGGCAAAATATCAGCCTTTGCCCTACACTTACTTGGCTGGACAAGTCTCACTTAAATCAGTGGGGATTGTTCTTTCACAGCCCCATCTTTACCTGCCCCACATTTGATGTCACATATGAAATCTGCGGTGTGGTCTGGGGGAAACTGCCTCACAGGCCAAATTAGGAGACCCACCTTGCCACTGTTCAAGATTAACCACATTTTTGGGTTTGAACTAGGGTTACCAGATGTCCCCGGTTTCCAGGGACAGTCCCCAGATTTGCAAATCTGTCCCCGGACAAATTCCATCCCTAGAATGTCCCCAGATTTGCAAATCTGTCCCTGGGAAATGTGGCAGCGGCAGCCTCAGCAGCCTAGAGCCAGCCTGGTAGCACAATTGGCTCTGGCTGGCTTCAGGAGCTGCCCGCTGCCGTGGTGCCCGCCATTTTTCCTCACCGGAAGTCCCCATATGATGTGTCTTGTGCACATATGATATGTCTTGTGCAATCTCCTGCCCCCTTCCCTCTTTGTTTTGACTGATCGGGGGAAACTCGGGAGTTGCAGGCGGGTGGCTGTTGCCCAGTTTTTAAAAAACTGTGCATTTATGTTTCGCAGGGTGCGAAAGAAGGGCTTTGCACCTTTATACAATATACATGTGTGCTTGGGCCCAGGGTCTGTTGCCTCACCATCCCCACTGCTGACTCCCTGTTGCTACTCAGCTTCAAAAAAAAGAGGGGGGGAAACGAGTGTGTCCCCGGATTCATTGAAAAGCAATCTGGTAACCCACAGTAAACTGTGGTTAATCCAAAACAGAAGTGAAAGTTTTTGATCTTCTTGTGATTGTGCTGGCGGAGAGGAGAGGCAGGCTTATTGAAGCTTATCCCTGTAATGTGTGAATGGCACCAATGCAAGTATTTACAATTCTAGTTTATATTTCATTATGATAAAATTAAAGTAAAAAGAGGGAATGGTATATCCTGTGGAGGAACCCAAGGAAGTGCAACAAAACAAAACAAAACAATATTGGGATACCACACAGATACCCGCCATGTTTTTTTCACACTTGGATACTGGAAGTATTTATTCATTTATTGAATTTATATCCCACCTTTTTCTCTGTGGAGTTCAAGATGGCTTATATAGTTCACCCAGCGGGCTTCACGGTTGGGAATCAAACCCTGGAGTCTCCCAGCTCCTAGTCCAACATTCTAACCACTGCACCACCAGCTTTTAGATGGGGTTCGTGAACAGATGACTGTGCTTGGCTGTGCAGCTCTGGAATATAAGTTGATTGAGCTTGAGCCTTCCTGTATTTTGATGGAATACAGCACCTATACCTGAGAGGATGGGTAGAGCCCCTGTCCCTGAACATTTCCCGGTGTGTGTCTAGTGTAAGGTTACCAGGGGACACTTTTCAACTTCAGTGGATTTTGTATGGGGACTGATTTGTAAATCTGGGGACTGTCCCCGGGAAACGGGGACATCTGGTAACCTTAGTCTAGTGGTTAAGATTTGTGCTGTCAGCATCCTGAGGTTTTAATTCCTGACCACACCAATGTATCAATTCGTTATTTTTTTTTTTTTTTTACCCTACCTAGGAAACATGCAGCCCAAATTGCTCAACCATACATGCTTTTTGAAAGTGTTTTTTTTGGGGCGGTGGGAACAGTTGCACATCTCATTAAAAGTGCATGGTTTTAATGTGACAGCAAATTCTGTTATTGGCTGGAATGTACATTTCTATTGCCGGTTCTATTTCACCTGCATACACAAGTACTGCAAGGCGGTCTCAAAGGGTTGTGTAAAAATACAGTGTGTCAGGGTAAAGGTAAAGGGTAAAGGGACCCCTGACCATTAAGTCCAGTCGTGGCCGACTCTGGGGTTGCGGCATTCATCTCGCATTATTGGCTGAGGGAGCCGGCGTACAGCTTCCGGGTCATGTGGCCAGCATGACTAAGCCGCTTCTGGCAAACCAGAGCAGCGCACGGAAATGCCGTTTACCTTCCCGCTGGAGCGGTACCTATTTATCTATTTGCACTTTGACGTGCTTTCGAACTGCTAGGTTGGCAGGAGCAGGGACCGAGCAACGGGAGCTCACCCCGACGCGGGGATTCGAACCGCCAACCTTCTGATTGGCAAGTCCTAGGCTCTGTGGTTTAAGGGTGGGAAATGCATTTATTTAAAATGTTCCTCTGTGGATCTTCACTGCATACTTCTTTACATACATTTGGAGTAAGGCACCAGGGGTGTCCCAGCAACTTTAATCTCAAGTGTCTGGGATGTGGCTATTTGTTTTGTGGGATCTGCTATATATGTTCTTAATTCTCCTCTTTGTCCACCCCCCTCCACCCAGATGCGTTTTCTAAACTGTGCAAATGGCCGGAAAGAGCCTTCCCGATCTATCCTGGATGTAGGTGTAGAAGACGCAATAAAATTCAGTGGATTTGATGAAAATATGTTTTTCAAGCGAGGAGGAAAATACGTCTGGAGCAAAGCAGATATGGCACTAGAATGGTGACCAAACCTGTCTGTTTACCACATGTGCACTGGAACCATGAACAGTATCCATTTCTTCCACCCTCAAGAGAGAACGATATGTATTTTAGCTTCTTTGGGTGTGACTGTGGACTGCTGCAAGCAAAACAGGTGTACATTTCCCCACAAGTGGGAATTAGCTTTCAGTCTCTGTATATTTAAATAATGGCTTGCACCAGCAACAAAAGCAGCACTGTGTATACATCGGCTTGGATAAAACATCTCCCCAAAGACTTAAACACAGAAGAAGATTTGAACTGTCACACCATGTCTTCCTAAGTCTTTGGGTTTGCAGAGGAAGACTACATATTAACCAGCAATACCTAAGGTCAGTGAGGCTTAAATGTATAAAGAGGAAGGCCCATGGTGTCAACGACACACGTGCTCAGATACTTATTTACATGCACGGAGGCAGCTGTCATCAGCACTTTCAGATAAATGCTGTTAAGTTGAAGATATAGCCGGACATCAAGCACACACAGACATCACTGGAGCATTACTAAATTAAAGGTAAAGGTACCCCTGCCCGTACGGGCCAGTCTTGACAAACTCTAGGGTTGTGCGCTCATCTCACTCTATAGGCCGGGAGCCAGCGCTGTCCGTAGATACTTCCGGGTCATGTGGCCAGCGTGACAAGCTGCATCTGGCGAGCCAGCGCAGCACACGGAAATGCTGTTTACCTTCCCGCTGGTAAGCGGTCCCTATTTATCTAATTGCACCCGGAGGTGCTTTCGAACTGCTAGGTTGGCAGGCGCTGGGACCGAGCGACGGGAGCACACCCCACCGCGGGGATTCGAAACCGCCGACCTTTCGATCGGCAAGCCCTAGGCGCTGAGGCTTTTACCCACAGCACCACCTGCGTCCCATTACTAAATTACCAAGAGTGAAAAGATTGTATTTGGCGAAGACTTTAGCAATACATAGGAAACTAAATGTGCTACCGCCAAAAAAGGGGGAACTCTCTAAGAGACTAATGGCCCAGCAGTGGCTAATGTGCCATTGGAACACAACAGAACAAATAAAATGGCACAAGCTATATATATATATATATATATATATATATATATTTGCTTTCGTAGATTTTCACGGGTACAGGAATGCAGGTTTTGGTGTCCTCGGGTGTCTTCCCGTGTAAAAGTTGGGGTGTCTAGGCGACGTTTCGACGAGGTCTCATTCGTCATCTTCAGGCTGGTGCTTTCGGCTTCTTGTTACTGGAACAGAGCAAGATCTCAGTGTTTGAGTTCCTATAAATACTGTTGAGGGGGTGTGGTGTATAGCCTCCAATGTTCTGGGCAGAGAGGAAGTTCCCAGGCTAGTGTGCCTTTTCTTCTTTTGTTCCTTAATTACTTGAGGGGTATCTTGAGTGATTTCTTGAGTGATATTCTGAGTACCACTTAGGTGGGTCATTAGGTGTGGATTAGTTGCTCAAGCCTTCGTGTCTTGACCTCTTGAACTTTGTGAAAAGTTTTTCTGAGAAGATGGCTGTACTGCACTTAGTTGTGCTCTGGCTTGGCTTCGGGTATAGGGGCGAGCTGTGGTTTTGTGCCCTGTGCCAGCCAGATCTGTGTAGGGATTGCAGGGGGGTGCAGCATCCGGAGGTGCCACCATGGTTTGGCTACTGGATGGTGTCTGTAATTTATCTGTGGAGAGGGTCTGGGTTTGGGTCTGGTGTGGTTGATTGGTGATGGCGTTCTGTGTGCCTCTGGATCTGGTGTCGGTTTTTGTGGGGAGGGCTAATTTCCAGATGTCTGGCAGGCGGGACGTGTCGTCACGCTTGTTCATGTTGTGAGGGTGTTTCTCTATCTCGATGGCTTCCATGATTATTCTCTTGTGGTGATGTTCCATGTTAAAGAGCAATTTGGAATCTGCAAAATTAATTTCGTGTCCTGTTTCTTTCATGTGTTGGAAAAGAGAGGAAGTTTTTTCTTCTTTTTTGACGGCATATGTGATTGCCATTTATTCCATACACCAGCAATGATCCGTTAACTCTGGCTGGACACACGTAGTATTATTATTTTGTAAAAGGAAACTATAATTAATAGAATTGTAGTGTTGGAAAGGACCTTGAGGATTGTCTAGTTCAACCCTCTGCAATTGCAGGAATAGGCAGCAGTCCCATGCAGGGATCGAACCTGCCGCGTTGGGTGTTATCACCGCCATACTGAGCTATCTGGTAACTTCCAGATTATGTGCTGTGTCGCACCTGAAGCTTCAGCTATTGAGAATGCATCAGCTAGACTACTGATGGGGGCAGAGAGGGCTGGCAGTGTGTGACCACTCTGCTAGATCACCTGCATTGGCTGCCCAGGTTCAAGTCTCTCGTATTAATATACAAAGCCTTTGAACTACTTGTGTCCAGGATACCTTAAGGGCTGCCTGAGTCCTTATATCCCAGCTCCATCACTGAGATCATGTGGAGGAGCAGGATTTGTCCCCCGTGTTTCAGAGGTCCAACTGCCCTGGGCTAGAAGCCAGGTGTTTAGCGATGCTAAATGTGTGGGGGTTTTTGTGGGGGGGGGGCTAGTGGGTTGTTGTTTTTATTTTTATTATGTCTTTTGTGGTTTTATATCTTGATTTTATTCTGTGTACTGTCCTGAGACCCCCGGGTATAGGGCGGTATATAAATTCAATAAATAACCATAATAAATGCTATGGAAAAGACGTGCCTATTTGGTTTAAGTTTTATTAAGATTAGGCAGGCATCTTGAAGATTATTTTGTATTGTTTCGTTCTGTATATATTGCCGTACACCACCTTGATGTTTCTGATGTGACATACAAATACTTTTGTAAACTAATACAGGCGAACGGTCATAAAACTGGAAAAACTGTTGCTTGTTTCTAGTGATTATGTATTTTTTGTGTTTTTATATTATAATTTTATTTTGAAAAAACCCTGAGAACTGTGGGTATAGGGAAGTATACAAATTTAATAAATAAATAACAAACAAACAAACAAACAAACAGTGTTGTTTTTCTTAATAAGATGGGGGATTACATGCGCTTGTGTTTTTGTGTGAGGGATGGAAGTAAAAGCAATAAATAAAAATGGCTGGTAAAAGAGAATGTGGCGCCATGTGCCTTGCGAAACGTAAGTCTCCTTGCGCAACATAATATTCTCTCCCTCTCACCCCACCGCCCCTAAACCAAGGAAGGAGAGTCCACCACAGAACAGATGCCAAGTACCTCCACACTCATGCCTAGAAACATGGGATGCAGGAAGGTTCCTTATACCAAGACAAACCATTGGTCCACCTAGTTCAGTATTCCTTACATTGGATAGCAGTGGCTCTCCAGGGTTCCAGGTAGGGACATCTCCCATCCCTACCTGGAGATGTCGGGACTGAACCTGGGACCTTCTGCATGCAAAGCAGATGCTGTACCATTGAGCTACGGCCGTTCTCTCCTCCCCGCCAATGCCCCCTGTCCCTCTACTTCCATAACCCTTGGCGAACTAGCTTGGAAACAGGACTTTGCCAAAATGATGAAGCAGATGGTAGCCCCAGTTCATCTGGGTGGGAAAACTGGATGCCTACAAGACCAGGGACTCGAAGGACACTGGGAGGCTAATGCTCCCCTGCACTATTTCTACCTAAGAACTAGGGCTGGGAGATATCTGGTTTTCAACATCGCAATATGTATCACCAGTTAAACATTGCAATATACCCGAGATAACACAATGTCCAAAATAAGGATAGAGCTGATTTTCAACATTGCAATGTATCGCCAGCCAAACATCACAATATACTGATTTATCACAATGTCTGAAACAAGGATGAAGCTATGGAGCGGCATCTGCTGGCTTCACAGTTTTCCCCACATAGTTCTTTTTGCATAGCGCACGCGTGCACACACACACACACACACACACACACACCATGAATGTAATATATTGCCAGGTCAAAAATTATGAAAGCAACATCATGATATGGACTTCAAACCAGTTTTGGATGATATATCGCCCCGCCCTAGCGCATATCCTGATTTAAGTTATATTGCCGGGTCAAAAACTATGAAACGGATATCACAATATGGACTTCAAATTGATTACTTTGAACGATATATCGATACAGCGCCCAGTCGTATCCAGGACAAACATCATGACAAGGGGGAGACCAGCTTGGCCCTCATCCATTAGTCAGTGAAGGAGCCGCTGTAGGGAGCTTGCTCCCCTCCTCTCCCACCACCAGAAAGAACACTGGACTCTCCTTCCTTGAGATTCTTGCATTGCAGGGGGCTGGACTAGATGACCCTCAGAGGTCCCCTCCCATTCTACAAGTCTATGATTCTATGGATAGCAACTGCCAGAGACCGTGAGATTGCAGGCCCCAAGCACGGAGCAGGCTCTGACCATCAACAGGGCTGTTGGCCTGCATGTGAGTTTTGAGCTTGTTATTGCTGCTGTCAACAACTTGTAAGCTGGACTGAGAATAACTGCATTTCAAAGGCAAGCCTAAAATCCTCCAAAAAAATCATCATTTTTTATTTGTATGCCACTTTTCCACAGTTAAAAACAATACTCAAGGCGGCTTACAACATGACAAGATTTACATAATTACAAAAGTCATAAACAATAAATAAACCACATCAAAAAATGCACAACCAAATGGAAAACAATTTCCACATAAATCAAAATCTAAAACTAAGAATACAGCATTAATATCACAGATTAAAATGACATAGGTAAAAAATAACAGCAATTTAAAATTTAATAAATATTCCGAATGACAATGAACCTGGGCAGGTACTGTAATGCACCATTATGCTACAATCCCTTCCATTTGAGAGGGATTTTATTTTGTCCCTTTAACCACACAGCCTAGTAATATTTTGAAAGATGAATCTTAAACTGGTTATGATGACCCGCGTTACATCGGCAAGACACCAATTTAGACCAAAGCCACAGGCTCTATATAAAGATGTATCGTTTGCTGCCGGGACAAAATAAATATGTAAAAAAAGAACTTCTTGAATGGTAATTCTCTGAATCACTATTTTTATTGCCATAACCATAATCATATACAACAAAGTGTGTCCAGAAATTCTCCCATCCTTATTATTTCTTTTATGTAGGCCTTTGACATTAGTTTTCCCCCTCCCCGCCTTCAAAATATGTAAGAAGAAATTATGGGGCTTGATTCCACAGCAGTTTAGCCAAATCTGCCCTCTCTTCAGATGGAATCTTGCCTAAATAAAGTTTGCAAGTCTACACCCAAACCACATATATTTCATTATGGATTGCATCAAGCCTTAAAACCTCAAAGCCACCAGCACACATGTTGCAAGAAGCGTGATGGCGTCTGTTCCAGCCTTACTAGCACTGCTACTCTACCATTACAACCGCTGTCTGCTGTCCATCCAGAATATCAGCTACTTAGCAACTGAATGTATTACAGCCTGTAGAACCGAATCTCCTAGCTCAGTTAGCCAGCAATGTAGTTTTCCTGGGCAATTCTGCACAGAGATTCTTCCTGATGCCCCAGAGAATGATCTAATTAGTGTGTTGATCTTGCTCATAATTAGTAAAAAAGTTTTTTTGTTATAAACAGATTAGCCATTCAGGTCATCACCAGACAGTTCAAAAATGCTGCCCACTTGATTGTGGTTGATGGGAGTGTGAGGGGAGAGGTAGTACCTCTGGTGGGGGAGACATGTTGTGGTCCTCCTGGAGTAGTTTGTCCACTCCCCCCCCCCCCCGCATTCAGCTGTCACCTGTGGCTCCTATAAGCTGTCAGAATGTGACAGCAGCCATACCAGGGGAATGGCTTCAATTGGCTGGCTAAACCAAGCGAGGGCAGCTGATAGGTATCAAAACCTTAATAAGTGAAGGCAGGTTCTGGAGGATGGAGCAGACAGACCAATAGCGGGTCCAACAGCCGAGAAGGCAGTTTCTGCACATGCTGTAGAGCTGGCATCCCCAACCTGCGGCCCTCCAGATGTTTTGGTCTACAACTCCCATGATCCCTAGCTAACAGATCAGGTTGATGGGAATTGTAGTACAAAACATCCAGAGGGCCAAAGGTTGGGGATGCCTGCTGTAGAAGGAAGCGAGGAGCAGACATGGGTCATCAACTCGGGAAGGTAGCCCATCTAGGAGAAATGACCGTAAACCGGAACTGCCTTGTGGGATATCTTCAGGAGAAGAAAAGGCTACACAAATCCCTAAGGCAGTTGGATGGCACCTTCCGGCAACTCCTGCAGCCAAATTGGTGCCAAACGCATTGCTCTGCTTTCCTTCGGACCACATCAGCGAGGCTTGTCATCTGGGCAGCCCAGGCACTCCATACACACTGCCCAGGTGAAGCAATGAATGCCTATTACCTTTCTCCATCTCGGATTCCCAGATGTTGTTGTACTACAAACCACAACCATCCCTGGCCTGCAGAGACCAGCAGTCAGAGATGACAGGAGTTGTAGTCCAACCCCACAGCAGGCTAGTTTCTACTCACACTCATCCTACCTATATTGGCCAGGGAGGACACAATCTCTCCTCGCTTTCTGTAATGGGTCGATGGCAGGCATTCGCACAGCCGCACAACCCACCCAGAGGCGCTTTTTCGCAACGGGTGAAGAAACCGCCCTCCAGCTCCTGGAGCGCCATCCGGAGGCGCATCTCGACGACCGGGCGCTGTGAGGGGCAGCTACCCCCTAGCCAGCCCTCTTCTCCGGAGGCGCTTCTCCTTCCCAAGCCGGAGAAAGGAGACCCCCACCATTCAAAGCCTCCGCCCCGTCTGAGCGAGGCGCGAACTGGGGAGTCCGGCAGGGGGCGCGTCCTCCCCGCGCGCGCGCCGCGCCCCGACTTGAGCGGCGCGCTTCAAAGCCCAGCCGCCGCGGCTGCAAAGCCGCCGGAGCTTAATGGCGTCCTTGCGCTCAGATTAGCTGCTCCCTTTTCCTTCCTTCCTTCCTCCTCCTCCTCCCCTTCCTTCGGGGAGGCGGGCAGCGGGCAGGAGGAGAAGAAGAAAAGGAGCGGCGGGAGAGGGAGAGGCAGAAGCGCCCAGGCGCGCGGGCAAGACTTCGCCGGGAAGGCAGCCGCACACAATGCGCCAAGAGGCAACACCCGGGCAAGGCAGCGCGGGAGACTGAGGCGCGGCGGTCCAGGCGAGCGAGAGGAGGAGGAGAAGCAGCAGCAGCAGCAGCAGCAGAGCAGGAGGGAAGAGGCAGCGGCGGCCCCAGTCCCCCCTTCTTCCCGCGCGGCGGCGGCGGCGGCAGGAGGGTAAGGCGGCGCGGCGCGCTCGGCTTTGTGTCTGCTTGCATCCGACGGGGATGGCGCGCTCGCTAGGCCGCTCGCTCGGGGATTGGCGAGGCGGCTCCTTCTCCGAGGTGTCCGCACCGACGCGCGCCTTTGTGTTTCCTTCCCGGTGACGAAGATGCGGGCATAGGAACCCCTTCCTAGCACCGAGGTCTCCCTTCGCCCCCTCCCCCAATAAAATAACGGAGCCCCCCCCCCCAGTTTATGGATATTGCCGTTCAAATGGCTTGTGCGCACCGCCACGTCTTGTGATGGATTACGCGGGGCGGAGCTTACCTGGTCCCCCATCCCCAATATTTTGTTCAAGTTGGTACCCCTGTGCAGGGTTAGATTTTAGCCCCACTCCCCCCCAAGAGGCTGAGGCGGTGGCTCCTTGGAGAAGTTCACTTTGCCCCCCAGGGCGGCTGGGAATGCGGATTCCAGGTTCTCGCCTGTCCCTCTGGCTGGGTCGGTGGGTGTGCCTCTTGGGTGGTGGGCATCCTTGGCTATTCTCCTTGTTCTTCTCCGCCAGCCAAATGAGCGTAGGAAGTTGGATCGGGCCGCCTCTTAACGCTTCTTAATTTCTATAGTGCTATATAGGTAGCATCTCCCTGAAACAAAAAAATATATCCACGCAAGTCATTGTTCGCCAAGAGGCGCAAATTGATTTTGTGTTGGTTATTTATCTCTCTTGGAATTGGTTTTCAAGTCGCTTATTTATTTCCCTTAGTTGGCATGCACGCTGGCCAATAAATGAGGGTGTATGGGGAAAGACCTTCTTGATTGGCACCCGTGGCAGGTACAGATGGCTGTGGAAGTACTTTATTGGATAGCTATGTGGCATCTTGTGGCACAATGGGTCATTGCATCTGGCTGTTGACCCCAAAGCCTGGTGGTCTGAGCCCACCAAGGCACAGCTGTGGGCAGGATTGCAAGGGGTTGGACTAGATGACCCTTGGGGTCCCTTCCGACTCTACGATTCTTTGTACGCACACAATTTAATATAATCATGGGCTTCTCTCCTGCTGTCCTCCTGCCGCATTTGGCATCCATCCTGACATGACCCTCCATTTATAAAGCTCTCTGCACCCATGGGACACTTTTTGGTTTTTTTGCTTAGTTACCCCCACCCTGCCCCAGCCAAGGTAGAAGCAGGTTTGTAGAGAGGCAGAGAGATGCAGCCAGCATCCACAGCCTCCACTGACATTAATACTCAGGCAGCCTTGGAATCGCTTCAGATGGAGAAGCAGCAGCAGGGAGAGCAATCTCCCAACTTAATCCTTTCCACTGGCAGATTTTCTGCATGGGGAAAAAGGGCGAGATCTGACAACCTTTGGCCGCACTTGAAGGTCTGAGTATGTGGGGAGGGCTGCCAGAACAGAGGGGAAAGCGTTGGGAGAGTATTTAAGAAGCTTTCAGAGGATTTAGGCCTGGGATGGTGCTATGTGTGTTTGGATGGATGGATGTGATTATAACGCCCAGAGATTCTCTGATTTGTTGAGACATATTATGTCCCCCAAAGGGACACGGGTGGCGCTGTGGGTTAAACCACAGAGCCTAGGACTTGCCGATCAGAAGGTCAGTGGTTCGAATCCCCACGATAGGGTGGGCTCCTGTTGCTCGGTCCCAGCTCCTGCCCACCTAGCAGTTCGAAAGCACATCAAAAGTGCAAGTAGATAAATAGGCACTGCTCTGGTGGGAAGGTAAACAGCGTTTGCATGTGCTGCTCTGGTTTGCCAGAAGTGGCTTAGTCATGCTGGCCACATGACCCGGAAGCTGTATGCCGGCTCCCTCGGCCAATAAAGCGAGATGAGCTCTGCAACCCCAGAGTCGGTCACGACTGGACCTAATGGTCAGGGGTCCCTTTACCTTTACCTATTATGTCCCCCGGGAAGGTCAAGGCTGTAAGGCTGCAATGGGGAACCTGTGGGTCCCCCAGATGGGTTTTTTAGGACTCCTAATTCCCATCATTCGAGAGTGTTGGCCATTCTGCCTGGGGCTGATGGGAGTTGGATTCCAACAGCATCTGGAAGGTGGTAGGTTCCCCATCCCTGCTGTTGGGTAATTGAGTTTATTCTTATACCTGTGGACATTTCCAGATGAGCTGTCTCTTCACAATACATTGTTGGGAGCAGTTGCACCTGTAATCACTTCATCCATCTCATGCTTATTGGTTCTGCCTTGTGTTGCAGGAGTGCTATCCAGCCATCACCATCCCCTGTTGGAAAGCCGTTTGATCCAGTGGCTTTCCCACCCATTAGAGCAGGGTTTCCCACACTTGGCTCTCCACCTGCTTTTGGACTACACTTCCCATTATCCCTGACCAGTGGTCCTGCTAGCTAGGGATGGTGGGAGTGGTAGTCCAAAAACAGCTGGATACACCCAAGTTTGGGAAGCACTGGTTTGCATACACTGGTAAGGTGCTTCCACCCCTTTCCTGAACCCATTGGGCTCACCACTTCTTGTTATGGAGATCTTCTGTGTGAAATCCCTCCAATCACTCTGGCTAGAAAAGCGCTGGTATTGCTGCTGGCTATTGGCACCTGAAGTCATTGTGGTTGTCTGTGCAACCCTATAACTAGGGAGGCCTTGGGCGAGGCTGCTTGAGAGATGGGTGGGGAAGACAAAGTGGTCGGCTCACATGTGTGAACCAGTTCCTTGTGATCATAAGGAACCAGATGGCAGAGCTTGCCTGGACCAATTAATGGACTATATAAGGGGCCAATCTGGTTTATGGAGTACATGGTTCACAATCTGGGAACGCTTTGTACCTCCTGTTCACATGTTTAGCAAACGTCCTAATATAATAATAATGATTATGATGATAATAATAATAATAATAATAATTAATTCTTTTGCAACACATTCTTTGGGCACTTCACAAGTGGGATTTTCAAAATGCAAGTGTGGAAGTGTTGAGGCTTAGAGTGCAAGCCCCTTTCTCCCATTCCCTCTGTCTGCTGGAGGAGCCAGAGTTGCGTGATTGTCAAGTCTGTCTCTCTCTCTTGTGTTGCTACTGCCTTGCTCTTGGAAGGTCAGAACTGCTAAAATGGCTGCAAGATGGTGGGTGCCTAAAATTAGCCTCAGAAGAAGTAGCAGAATTGTGCAAATACCAAGTGTTGTTGTTGTTGTTTAGTCGTGTCCGACTCTTCGTGACCCCATGGACCAGGGCACGCCAGGCACTTCTGTCCTCCACTGCCTCCCACAGTTTGGTCAAACTCATGCTGGCAGCTTTGAGAACATTATCCAACCATCTTGTCCTCTGTCGTCCCCTTCTCCTTGTGCCCTCCATCTTTCCCAGCATCAGGGTCTTTTCCAGGGAGTCTTCTCTTCTCATGAGGTGGCCAAAGTATCAGAGCTTCAGCTTCACAATCTGTCCTTTCAGTGAGCACTCAGGGCTGATTTCCTTAAGAATGGATAGGTTTGATCCTCTTGCAGTCCATGAGACTCTCAAGAGTCTCCTCCAGCACCATAATTCAAAAGCATCAATTCTTCGGCGATCAGCCTTCTTTATGGTCCAGCTCTCACTTCCATACATCACTACTGGGAAAACCATAGCTTTAACTATACAGACCTTTGTCGGCAAGCTGATGTCTCTGCTTTTTAAGATGCTGTCTAGGTTTGTCATTGCTTTTCTCCCAAGAAGCAGGTGTCTTTTAATTTCGTGGCTGCTGTCACCATCTGCAGTGATCATGGAGCCCAAGAAAGTAAAATCTCTCACTGCCTCCATTTCTTCCCTTTCTATTTGCCAGGAGGTGATGGGACCAGTGGCCATGATCTTCGTTTTTTTGATGTTGAGCTTCAAACCATATTTTGCGCTCTCCTCTTTCACCCTCATTAAAAGGTTCTTTAATTCCTCCTCACTTTCTGCCATCAATGTTGTGTCATCTGCATATCTGAGGTTGTTGATATTTCTTCCGGCAATCTTAATCTTAAAAATACCAAGTGTAGGAGGAACTATATGTTGCATCCCGTCACCATGAGACCGCAGAACTGCACAGAGGCCCCCTTACATGTTCTCTAAAGGAGCTCCGGTCATCTCATCCATAGGCTGGCCTGGCGAATATTCCACTCCCTCCAACTCTGCTGCCTGGAGAGGCTCATGTGCTATTCTTGGTATGCTTTTTGAAGCAAGCCTTGCTGAAGCCGCTGGCAAGAAACCCACACAAATTGACTCAGGATACTCATCATTTGCTGCAGGGAAACATAAAGGAGATAGATGGGGGCAGGGAGGGGGAATAGTACCCTCAAGTATGCTGTCAACGCAGCGTCGCTGGGCATTTATCCATAACCTTGCTTCACGTAAAGAGGCTAAGAGTGAGATCGAAGTGTAAGAAATAGAACACGGAGAAAGAAAGGCAATAAGTATTGTTTTTCCGAGTCGTCATTCAGAATTGCTGTATGCAAGCTTTCAGGTGGCGCAGGTTTCTTCCCTGCGTAAATCAAAATTTAGGAATATATGTGCATGTGTTGCATCGGGTCTGGGCTGTACTTATTTCCTTATAAACCTATTTATAGGCTGCCTTTATGGGCATAGTCCTTACAAGGCGGCTTACCTATCATAAAGACACAATACTATTTAAAGCCAAACTAGACCGTTTTAAATGTTAGCAGCACGAAATTACCCGAAACATAGACCAGATAAAAATAAATGGAACAGCAGCATGAATTCCAGAAGCTAAAAAAGCTATGCATTCCAAAACAGCTATTTAATTTTAGCTCCTAAAATTAAGGCCTAAATTTAAAACTGGTGTGTGCGTTTTTTAAGCCTGTAGATTTTAAAATTTACAAAGTTGAAGCCACCTGCAGTTGGTGATGAAATGTGGAATTTTAATTTTTGAGTAACTGTAACGGATGAATTAACCGGGTAGCTTATCATGAGGGATTCCATCCTTTGCTAACTAAACACTGACAGCATGAAAACTTCTCAGTTGTTGCTGTTTCGCCTGCATTTTTCCATAATTCACTGGAGTTCTCTGCGTCCT